AGAAAAGTGTTATTTTAAATAGCAATAATTTTTCACAAAAGTTACTGTTTTACTGTATTTTTCATCAAATATACATAAACATATATTCAAGATGACTCCTTTTGTTGCAAAAAAGATAGTCATGCAGCTTTAGAAAAACCATATGGTGAGCAAATGATGACAGATTTTAATTTTTGGGTGAACAATCCCTTGAAACAATTGCGGCCGTGCACAGCATGATATGAAATAGGTCAGCCGAGACACCTGTGAATTAGAGCACAGCACACTGACTGAGTCTTGAAAAGGTGCGAGTTTGTTTTGGCGTCGGTGTAGCGACAGGGGAGTAAAGCAGGTCAGTCCTCTCAAGCGCACTGTCCCTCCTGTTGTTTCAGCTGTATCAGCATTAGAAAAACGTCCCCAGCAAGTTCCCTTCTCCCTGCATACTTCAGAGAGACCCAGCATTGCCCTTTACTAGGGGTTGGGTACTGAACTCGGTACTTAAGGGTACCGACCGAACTGAGTCGGTACTACCGAGTAGAGCCCGACCGATATATCGTTTTGCCGATATTATCGGCCGATATGAACAGTTTTTTTACAGAACATATAACGCAGATAAAATGCTTGAAATGGTGTAATTACTTCGTTTGTCCAGCAAAGCGCGCTCCATTGTTTGCCACTGGCGACCTGGATGAAGCGCTTTAAAGCTTAGTCTATGGAAAACCATTGAAACTTTGAACGGCCATATTTCAGTAACGGCGCTGCGAATCCGCACCAAATTCGGGGGATCCCTTCAGCTCGAGGAACCCTCTTGAATGCGAATCGAGTGTACTTCTAGAGGCCCACTTCGAATGAGACCACCCCCGCGTCGATAGCCCCCGGGGTTCGGGAGTTACGGGTGGTTAAATTCACGGTCCGGCGCCGACCGATCAAGCGATCCTGGGGGGCTACCGACACGCGGAGGGTGGCGTTCGAGAGGATTCCTCGAGCTGAAGCGATACGCACGACGTATTCGTAATGAGACTCATTTATAAATCTGTTGTCAACAAAAATAAACATTGAGGTCTTCCTGCGAGTTTCCGCCAAAATAAAAGTTGAGAAAAAGCAAGAACTCTTATCAACATTCATAAATGTTAGTATTGTAATTTTACTGTTGTTCTGTAAAATAAAAAATAAAAAAGTAAGACAATACTAATGATAATAATCATTACAACAGCTCTGTTTTAATACATTTATTATAACATTCACACAGTGTTCAAATTAGGATCTGTAATATTTTCTAATGTTTTAAAAGAAGTCTCTTCTCAGCAAGGCTGCTTTTAATTGTACAGTAAAAAAAAAAAAAAACATGCCTGATTCAAGAAGGGTGTCTGCCAAAAATTATTATTTTACCAACTTATTAATTTTAAGTTAAATTGTGCTTTGTTGGTATAGTGTCTGCAAGAATGTTAAAATGTTCAGTGTTCAATATTTTAAAATTGTTGTTTTGTATTTTGTATTTATTTTGAAAAGCAAGACAAAACAGTAAAAAGCACATTTTGGCTTTTTAATTTATGCAATGGTGAAAAACAAATTGCCAACATACCATGGAAAAAAAACTTGAAAAACCATGTTCGGTATTCGGCCTTTCACCCAGTGTTTAATTTTGTTCGGTTTTGGCTTCGGCCAAGAATTTTGATTTCGGTGCATCCCTATTTATATTGTATTTATTTACAGAGGTATATTATTGTCACACTTCACACTTCTCTAGTAAGTTTAGTCTGTTTCTGAAGACAGTAGCGCAAATCCGTGAATGAATGTTCCGAAGTGAAAAACTTCAACGGAATAAAGTTGAATGGAATTTAATTAAAGTTGAATAAACTTCAACTTTACTGTTCAGTGCACTGATGTCAGACTCATTTTGTATAATAAAGTTTGTTAAATTGATAAATGCCCTGCCTCCATTACGTATCTCTGTCACGTCATTATAAGTGTTTGATCACCACATTTGAGTGATCATTGCAAAAAATGTGTTTATGTATATATATTCTGTTTATGTATATACTGTATTCTATATACAGTACCAGTCAAATGTTTGGACACACGAATGTGAAAGTGTCCAAACTTTTGACTGATACTGTACAATAATATACACAAAGAATATCGGCCGATATATCGATATCGGCCTTTTTTTACTCCCTAATATCGGTATCGTATTCGCCCCAAAAAAAAACATATTGGTCGGGCTCTACTACCGAGTTCACATTAAATCAATCGGTGCCAAATTTCAGAACCGGAGAACGCATCTGGGTGCATACGCTACAGAGAGAGAAAGAGAGACCCTGTGATGTGATGTCACCCCTGCAACTCGTTCAAACAACACACAGGGCAAGCCGAAATGTTCTGAAGTATGGTTACATTTCTAGGGCCATATGGTTTGGTCGAACCGGTTCACCAAATTGGACTGAATCGTACAGTTCGCATCTCGAGTCGGCACTGATCCACAATTTTCTAAAGTTTTTCACTTTCAGACATGCCTTACAGTCCTACGACTCTAAATAAACCAATATCCCGGAGTATTCATTACTCCTGTAACTCCAGCAGCACTGAAAAACAAGCTGTGCAGACAGAGAACCGATGAGCATGAACAGATATACTGAGCATGCGTGTACTACCAAACGAACGGTACTGCTACAGCGGTTCTCGAGTCAACAGTTCTCGAATAACCAGTACACTGAACCGAGTACTAGAGATGCACCGATTGCAATTTTCTTGGCCGATTCCGATTGATCAAGCGATCCTGGGGGGCTACCGACACGCGGAGGGTGGCGTTCGAGAGGATTCCTCGAGCTGAAGCGATACGCACGACGTATTCGTAATGAGACTCATTTAAAAATCTGTTGTCAACAAAAATAAACATTGAGGTCTTCCTGCGAGTTTCCGCCAAAATAAAAGTTGAGAAAAAGCAAGAACTCTTATCAACATTCATAAATGTTAGTATTGTAATTTTACTGTTGTTCTGTAAAATAAAAAATAAAAAAGTAAGACAATACTAATGATAATAATCATTACAACAGCTCTGTTTTAATACATTTATTATAACATTCACACAGTGTTCAAATTAGGATCTGTAATATGTTCTAATGTTTTAAAAGAAGTCTCTTCTCAGCAAGGCTGCTTTTAATTGTACAGTAAAAAAAAAAAAAAACATGCCTGATTCAAGAAGGGTGTCTGCCAAAAATTATTATTTTACCAACTTATTAATTTTAAGTTAAATTGTGCTTTGTTGGTATAGTGTCTGCAAGAATGTTAAAATGTTCAGTGTTCAATATTTTAAAATTGTTGTTTTGTATTTTGTATTTATTTTGAAAAGCAAGACAAAACAGTAAAAAGCACATTTTGGCTTTTTAATTTATGCAATGGTGAAAAACAAATTGCCAACATACCATGGAAAAAAAACTTGAAAAACCATGTTCGGTATTCGGCCTTTCACCCAGTGTTTAATTTTGTTCGGTTTTGGCTTCGGCCAAGAATTTTGATTTCGGTGCATCCCTATTTATATTGTATTTATTTACAGAGGTATATTATTGTCACACTTCACACTTCTCTAGTAAGTTTAGTCTGTTTCTGAAGACAGTAGCGCAAATCCGTGAATGAATGTTCCGAAGTGAAAAACTTCAACGGAATAAAGTTGAATGGAATTTAATTAAAGTTGAATAAACTTCAACTTTACTGTTCAGTGCACTGATGTCAGACTCATTTTGTATAATAAAGTTTGTTAAATTGATAAATGCCCTGCCTCCATTACGTATCTCTGTCACGTCATTATAAGTGTTTGATCACCACATTTGAGTGATCATTGCAAAAAATGTGTTTATGTATATATATTCTGTTTATGTATATACTGTATTCTATATACAGTACCAGTCAAATGTTTGGACACACGAATGTGAAAGTGTCCAAACTTTTGACTGATACTGTACAATAATATACACAAAGAATATCGGCCGATATATCGATATCGGCCTTTTTTTACTCCCTAATATCGGTATCGTATTCGCCCCAAAAAAAAACATATTGGTCGGGCTCTACTACCGAGTTCACATTAAATCAATCGGTGCCAAATTTCAGAACCGGAGAACGCATCTGGGCACATACGCTACAGAGAGAGAAAGAGAGACCCTGTGATGTGATGTCACCCCTGCAACTCGTTCAAACAACACACAGGGCAAGCCGAAATGTTCTGAAGTATGGTTACATTTCTAGGGCCATATGGTTTGGTCGAACCGGTTCACCAAATTGGACTGAATCGTACAGTTCGCATCTCGAGTCGGCACTGATCCACAATTTTCTAAAGTTTTTCACTTTCAGACATGCCTTACAGTCCTACGACTCTAAATAAACCAATATCCCGGAGTATTCATTACTCCTGTAACTCCAGCAGCACTGAAAAACAAGCTGTGCAGACAGAGAACCGATGAGCATGAACAGATATACTGAGCATGCGTGTACTACCAAACGAACGGTACTGCTACAGCGGTTCTCGAGTCAACAGTTCTCGAATAACCAGTACACTGAACCGAGTACTAGAGATGCACCGATTGCAATTTTCTTGGCCGATTCCGATTTCTGATTTTTTGGAAGTGTGACCTGCCGATACCGATTTTTGCCGCTTCTGATTTTCTTTCCAAGATATATAATTGACAGCGTACACAAACAAAAATCTATGCAAATTTCAATGCTAAAATTATTTACATAATAAAATAAATCATTAAACACTACAATTCCCCCAATCTGATCTAAGTTATAGATTTTCTCTCACTTAAACAACTCTCAAAATAAAGTGCTCTGTGACTGGAAAGAGGAAGAAATAGTTAACTTAAAATGAATTGCTGTATGTAACAAAACAGATGTCATTTCCCACTATGTTTATAAATGGTAATTTTTTTCTGCTAACCTTATTAAATGTGTCATCTTTCACATCAAATTCTTACTTTGTTTCAGTTAATTCAGTTAGAATAATAAGAACCTAAATCATATTTTCTACCGCCGTATGCATCTATACATTTCTGTGAGTTACTTTGTGTGTGCTGTCTCTCTCACACACTCACTCAGGCTGTGTAAGCCTCATCTGGCACGGTATCAGTCGCCATTTACACTGAATGCAATTAAAATTAGAATAATTTTCACGCGAAACGACATGTTTACACGCGACTGAGTGTGCGTGCGGCTGTGACGTCAATGCCGGCGCCGCTGGCAATAAAAGGATCGGCTCGGCATCGGCAAGATGTGAGACTGACCAGCCGGTCAACGATCCGGGCCGGTTATGTGAAAAATCGGCCGATTCCGATCACTGGCCTGTCAATCAGTGCATCTCTACCGAGAACCGTTTCTTTCGGACACATTCGACATTTCGGACACGTTCGATATACTGAGAACCGATGAGCTGGAAATTGAGCATGTGTGCAGTACCGAACGGTACAGCGGGTCTCGAGTCAACAGTTCTCAAATCACCAGTACACTGAACCTTTCAGACACGTTCGAGAACCGTTTCTTTCGGACATGTTCGACATACTGGGAACCGATGAGCTGGAGATACGCAGCATGCGTGAAGCTAAAACTGATGCTGTGCTGATATTATGAGCGCGAGTGAACCGAGGACTTGAATGAGGGGGCAAATTTGATGGAATGAAGTTTATTTAACAGATAAAACTTACTGGAAAGTGCAAATGCAACTATATTACAACAACATTTTAACATGATGAACATGCTGTTCAGTCAAAACATGTAAATGAATATTAATATTTACTATTGTGTATGCACGTTATATTATAAGCTTCATGAGATGGATTTCTGTACAGTTAAGGTTCTGTTACAGTTTCTGTAAAAAGTTGATGAAGACTTCTTTCTTCATATCTGACATCCACATTTACGTATCAGTGCCAGTATTGGGTGCTTTTGCGAAACGTAAATGTAAGAAACTTATCCAAGATGATGATGACGATGGTTATTACTACTTATCATAAGTTATGATTACAAATTACTTTATTTGAATGTGTTTGAATGTATTTTAATTTGCTGGGATGATAGAATTGACGTCATTATGTGATGACGTAAAAGAACCGGTGAACCGGTTCATTGAAACGAACTGTCCGAAAGAACCGTTCGCGGAAAAGAACCGGACTGCCCATCACTAGTATAAATACTACACAAATACTGAAGCATGCGTGAAGCTCGCGGTGATTTTCGGCCTCTGCATCTCACTATATGACGGCATGAACACAAAAACGTAATCTCCAGAGCTGCTGTGAGAGTCACTTCGTAAGAATTTTTCTGTTTCATTTGAGAAAACTAGCATCATCATAGTGTATACACTAGAGGTCGACCGATATATATCGGTCGGCCGATATATCGGGCCGATATTTGTCATTTTTTAATATATTGGCATCGGCCGATATCCGTGTTCAGTAGCGCCATTATTATTAGTGTGACATTTTAGCATGCAAATGAAGGGGAAAACTTCAAGATATCGGCCCTAAAAATCGGCAGCACATATCGGCCATTGGCTGACCCTGACCTCTAAACATCGGCATCGGTTATAGAAAAACCCATATCGGTCGATCTCTAGTATACACACAGAAACTTCATGGCAACCCGTCAAAATAAAAGTACGGTTTAACAGAAATATATTACTCTGTATTACTTTTGTACAGTATATTGCACATCTTTGAATATTCAATTTTCTATCAAATTTAAATAAAACAATGAAATGATAAAAATTAATTACAACCAGATTAATCACTTAATTGTAGAAAAAAAAAACAATTATTAGCCTATTAAAAATGTTTTAAAGGAATAATCACACAATTTTTCTTCCATGTATTAATTTTAACAGTAAACCTCAGTTTGTTTGCTAAAAAATAAAAGGGTTTAATTTTCATTTGATTTAAAATAAATGTTTAATACCTTCATAGAAAGAAAAAGTTTGTAGTCTATTGTTCAAAATGTTGGAATTGAGACTTTTGGACTTATTTTTTAAATGAAATAAATGTTTAAAATATAAAATTGTGTAAAATGTGTAAAATACCGAAAAAGGTACCGGCACCGAAATTCAGGTACTGATACTGGTACCATACCGGTTAAAATGTGAACGGTACCCAACCCTACCCTTTACCCTCTCTCGCTACATCAAAAGCCTAGCGTGCGTCTGCTGCAGCTAACAGCTGTTGCTTACCAGTTGCGCTCAAGGCTAATTTTGTTTGATGCTTCGATTCGTGCAGTGCCTTACGTGCAAAGCTAAGTGTATTTGTGTCTTTGGTCAATATGAAAGGAAGATGGCACTTGTTTTGTTCTTAGATGTAGCTGGTGTGCCATCTGCTTTTAAAGATCAAATGAAATCTCACAGCAGTAGCGTGGAAAATCAAGGTAAGTGGTTTCTCAGGGACTTGCGTAGTGAACGGGATAAGCTAAATCCTGAAGTAGGGATTGCGTCTGCATACGCAGCCCAGCCTTTTGCAAGTTCACCATTACATAACTGCACCGTTACTACTGCCAAACAAACAAGTAAAAGAAAAAATGCTTAGTAAACCTGGGCATGAGAGATTAAAGGTTAGTTCAATCGTATATACAGCAAAAGTCGACTGAAAGGACACATGTGAAAAATCAAATCAGTTACAAAAAGTCTCTTTGACTTTGTCTTTTTAAAGAAGACGAGGTGTAATTGAACTCCCTGACATGATTTGCAAAGGAAAAATGCATATTATAAAGGCCTGGCCAACATTCTGTCCTCCTAAATAGAAGTTAACTAAATAAAGCAATAATACACAGTTAAAATAACAGCAAATAAATCACACAATGGAAAAATCAGTGACAACAACAGCCCTCATGAGGGGGGAAAAAAACACGTTGTCTCTTTGCAAATGGATTTGTTGTGGATAGCAAGCCTGCAACACTCATAAACACACTCTCTTACTTTGTCTTTCACTCTCTCTCTTTGCCAGTAATCTCTCTCTCTGTGTGAGAAAAACGGCCTCTAAATTTAGCATCAGATTTATCATGCGGTAGCAAAGGCTTCAGCTAACCAGAGGGTGGAGCCTCTGAGGGGGGTGTCCGTCACTAGTCACATTCGGAGCCAATAAAAAAGGCCTGGGCCTGACAGCCGTACACACACTGCAGCTAATAGATGCTCCTGCTTCCCTGACCTGTCACGCGGGATAACCCACAGAGATCCGGATGAGCATATTAATACCTTTTTTAGGGGTGCTCCGATCAGGATTTTTGAGGCTGATCACCGATCACAAAAAGCAGTATCTGCCGATACGATCACCGATACCGATCTTTTTAAAGCCTTCTTTTTATCATGTAGAATTATTTATAGTGATGATCCAATCACGATTTTTAGACATGTATTCAGGGCCTGAATTTCATTTTTGAAAATGAATTCCCCTCTTAGTTGAATCTTGAGTGGGGATTTTTTTAATTTGAGGCAATTTGAGGCATTTTTTTAGACATTTTTCAAAAAAATATTTATCTCATCTAAATGTTTGATCATGCACTACATTTTTGTTTTGACAATCGTGCAATTGTGACAATAGCTTACACACAGCACAAGCCTTATTTCGTGAGCTGTAAGTGAGGAAGTGTTACACCAGGTTCGCACATACTCCGTTTGCAGTGCGTATGCAGTCCATGTGTGCTATGTAACTCGCTGTGCAATTTCATAGACAAAATAAATTTTTCATAGACGTGTTTAAAACGCAATAAATTTAAGAAACACATTATCCAATGCTCTTTACTTTTGCATTTACTTTTGCACTTCTAGATTGATTTATTAAGTTGCTCAAGCAAGTGGCAAAACTTTTAAACTACTTTTCTTACATTATCACAAACATTCTAAATTAAAACTTACCATTGACAGAAACAGTCAGCTCTACTGCCTTTTCTTTTGCATGTAATTCTTTATTACAAGCAATCCTGCGGTTCATAAAGAACTTTGTTTTACTACCTCTACAAGTGCCATCTATTATTGCCTTGTTTATCTAAAAGTAGGCCTGCACGATTAATCGAAATTAAATCGCAAAGGTGATAAATCGCGATTAGGCAGAAGCTGCGATTGCCATGTGTATCTTTCAGTGAAGCACGGTTCTGTGATCAGCAGTAAATCTCCATCCGAAGGCCAGAGGGCGCTCTCGCGCAGAAACTCCAAATACGCCCCACAGAAGAAACACAGGAAATGCCTATAGCGGGTTGCTGAATAAACAGATGATTTAACTGCTTTCATTAATTCAGCGTGACTAATAAACACACGACAACGACAATATATGGTTTATCTGAGTTCGTCTTATTATAATTTTTATTATAATAAAGTATATAATAATGCAGACATAGACTTTATCACTGCTTAGAATACTATGAAATATGTTGCGTGCCTTATTCGTTGTAAGAAGCTACATCATCTCACAGAAGGATTTATTTCAAACACTCGACTGACGTTATGAAGTGAGTTTGGAGTAAAAACATGTTATTAAATGTGGTATTTTCACGTGCTTTCAGATGGAGCAGCATTTACTACACTGAGCCATAGTTCACTGACAAGCTACGCAAACAGCTTTCATAATCTCAGAACGATTTCTTCGATTTCGATTTCTTCGATCGCGCGATTATGAACGCGATTTTGCGTAGCTTGTCAGTGAACTATGGCTCTGTGTAGTAAACGCTGCTCCATCTGAAAGCACGTGCTGGAGATTTACTACTAATCACAGAACCGGCTTTACTGACAAGATACGCATGACAATCACATCCGATTAATCGTGCAGCCCTATCTAAAAGTGCTCTTTTCCTTTAAACCTAGCCAAAAAGCCATAGCCTATGTGTTGACTGTGAAACACAGTAGAATTTAATTATATGCATTTATGGTGTAATTACTACATTTTGTGTCAATTCATGTTCATATTTACCACAAACAATGCGCTGTTACTTTAATTCACCACGTGCAGCGGAAACTATCTCTGCACTGCTGCAGACGCACCGCTCCTGGAACGAACTGCTGGACCGCAAACCGTGTGCAGTGTGAACGCTTTAATTCGTTAACATGAGCATGGAAAAAATACGCACCACATACGCACTGCAAACGGAGTAATGTAAACCTGACGTTATGTGCGTGCGCTTTGAGTGTGCAAACATCCCAAAGTGATTATCGACCGATAGTGATCGGTAGCCAATCAATCAGAGCACCCCTAACCTTTTTGTACCTTTGCAGAACAAAATAGGGACCTCACTAAGGTCCTCTATGGCACTGGTTTTAAACTCCTAAAAAGGGTCACCAGTTTGGGTTGTCAACAATTGCTAATTAAAAATAATAAAACTAAACTAACCCTATATTTAATCATAGTTCAGATGGTAACAAACATATTTAAAAGCAAGGAGAAAATGGAAAAATTGGTGTACATCTAATAAAAATAGTACAGACAGTATATCTGTCACTTGGTAAAAACTAGCCAAATTACACAAATATCAACATGGACCAGTTTCTTGGCATGTCCTTATCCTCAAAAACCATGGACAAAATTACGGAAGGTAAAAGGAAATATGACTTTATACAGATTCCCTCAAAAGAGGATAAACTAATTTGAGCAGACCACAATCTGTTTTGTGGTGAATTACTGGCTTGAGCATGAAGCTATTGAAATTCCAGAGACATTTAGAAACCAAAATAGTAAATTTTCCAATTGAGCAATTTTAAATGTTAATAATTTCACAATTTGTAGGGCCTTTGCAGTTCATGGCAACATCGACACTTAATTTCAATAACATTACATCTGTATAATAAACCATTTTGATATTGTGTTGGGTTGCCATCTGATGTCCTGACACATAACCAATTCTCTAAGGTACAAATTTTGTCATCCCTGTAAATTCTAGTGGTTTGTGCACTGTATGTGTGTGGAAAAGATGGAGAGTGACGAAAAGACATCGAAAGAGGGCAATCTAAAAGTTCCTGAGAGGAATGTAAAAAAAGGTGCCCTTGCAGTAGGATGCTAAAAACTGAGCGAAAAAGGGGGAGAAATTAAAAGAAAAAGAAAAGAAAACATATCAGCCACCTGGTCAGATAAGTGGCCGAGCTGTGTGGAGGAGAGGAGCTGAGCACTGCAGTGAACTGAAGGACAATCATTGAACAAGGACATACACACGGCGGGTCAGAGGAGCTTCAACGAGTCAAACAGCACAGTGCTGATTGCACAGACTGCTCATTTCACAAACACCCTGAGAGAAGCGGACAGTGAACGAGGCGAGCACAGCTTCCACAGAGTCAGAAATGTCAATATCCGACAAGTCAAAGAAGTAACAACGCAGGGAGAAAAAATGGGTTTGACTGCAGTCTGCGCATCAAGGTCAAAAACATGCAGTATGCTTTTCCTGGTGGAAAATTTGAAATGTATGATATACAGGACCACACTGGTTATCAGCAGATACTAGTTACTTATTTAAATGTATTGGTATCATACCATCAGGTCTGGGTAAAAATTTTCATTTTTGGAATCTACAGAGTGGTGTCAAGTATCAACATATATCTGTTAAATAAATGGCAAACATTTTAACAAAATTATTTTGCATAATTGTTGTAGCATGACTAAGAGAAAATTTTAAGCAAAATTTTGACTGATCAAATCAAATGCTTATAAATCTACATCAAATCAATGTTGCAATAACAAAAATGACCTAAAGACTACCACATTGATATAACATAAAAACTACAGAGTGATTTTTTTTTTTAAACAAAAATAGTACAGATTTTTAACATGGATTCTTCTATATTGGCCAAAATGTGTGCATCCCTACAGACAGCACAATAAACAGGCTGTTAAAATGGATAGTGATTACATACCAGTTGCAAAGCTCCTACCCTCCATGCAGCAGGCAGGTTTGTATGAGGTCTCGGACAGGGAAAGACAGCGAGAGCCAGCAGAAAGCAGCACAGAGTTCGGCTGTCAGAGGGTGGAGTGTGTGGGCTGATAGCCTCGGTGCTACATCAGTACTGTGCATAGGACACGGCAGGTAACCACAGCATCAAAGAGAAGCACGCCGCAGCGTCGACTGGGCGGATTTGGAAGCTTGTCTGCTCCTACAAGGGCTCTGGCAGACTTGGCAGACTTCCACTCTGGGAGAAACCCTAAATGAAAGCTCTGGGATGCTTCGTACGGAGTTTGTCACAGTGTAATAACCTGTCTGCGCTGTTGACATGCTTCCAGGCCTGACAGCCCAAGGCAAAGTCAAAGCTGGCCTGAAGTAATACCATATTGTCTTATTTTTCAAGACTTTTATCAAAATCGAATAAAACTAAGGGCTGAGAAAGCAAATGTAATGAAGTCAGCAATGTGTGCAATCTGTGCCTCAAAATCTACAGATTTCTAAGCACAAGAACAGGCAAGGAATGACAAATTAATCAGAACACCCTTTTTACACCTGGTATTAATATCCATTGTGCAAGATCAGCACTAAATTTGTAAATATGTAATACAAGAATGCTGATTTAAACATGATATATATGATAATTACAGAACTTAATTCAAAGACAGTAAAATAAAACAATTACCTTTATTTTCATTAATTTCATTTTTAACTAAATATATATATTATATAAGGGATGTGCGGGTCTAGTCGACTAGTCGACTAAACGGTACAGCTCCTACTAGTCGACACTGAAAACAATAGTCAATTACACGACAGAAAGAAAAAAAAAAGACAAACAGGATTTTATCATTCACATTACCATTATTTTAACATTGCATTTAAAGCATTTTAAATAACGAGTTAAAATAAAACGTTTGAAAAATAATACATTATTTTTAAAAGTTTATCTGGGCGGAAACTACATTTTTACCTCAGACCTCACATGCGTTTTCTTCGTGTCAGTTGCGGCAAGTTCAAAAATGACCATGCGAAAGATGAGAAGGTGTGGGATTATTTTGAATTAGAAGGAAAATGGAAAAGTTTTGAGTAAACTGTGTAATGTCAAATTGTCTTACAATAACTCTACTGGAGCGATGCGTAATCATATTCAATACAGGCACGTAGGCGTTGGAGGCTGGCCAAAGCCAGCAAATGTCAATCACGTCATTCACTACAACCCGTCGGTGCTGCGATCCCATCCGCGCCATCTATTCCTCTAACGAACACCCACTTCGGTGGTGGTGCGTGATGTCCAGGCGCTTTTTGAAACTATCGGCTTGCTTTTCGTTATCTCTGCGTGCCTGCGACTTCAGTTCCTGCCGAGCGCGTTTTTTCAAGTGCAGGAATTTTATTGTTAATCGCCTCAGGTCCTGTCTTTCACCAGACCACGTTGATCATTTCACTGAACAAATAAATTTACCCCGTTTGTATCTGCAAGGCGTCCGTTACACATTTTCCCTGTGTGTTAATGTCAGTATTTATGACTGTTGAATGCCTGACTTGTGTCACAGATCGGCCAGACTCTATGTATGGGATTCTTTTGATTAAATATTTCTCGTAAGTATAGATGCGTTTTTACATTTTATTATTTTAGAAAACTTTAGTTATGCTCCATCTAAAGCTAATAAATCAACTAGATGTTTTTGATCTTTGATCTAAGTACAGTTATGTGAGTCTAGAATGTTTACGCTGCACTAAACTTTGACGAACAACACTCCGATCCGCAAACAAACAGATGAAGAAGAGGAGGATGATGATGGTCCAGCACATACAAGGAGAAGGTTTGTAGTTTTAGTTTCCACGTTCTTATTTTTATGAATGTAACTGAATGTA